CACATGTGAGTAGTGCACCTGCCTCATTGCAAAGCATAATTAATAAATGGTTGGTTATTTAGAAAAGAAGGAAGGAAAACCCCATGAGGTGAACTGAAACTTCTGGCAGCTGCATCATAAAGCTAACTCCTACATATTGTCTTTATGTGACTGACATTAGACATTTCCAAACTTCATTAGGTGGAAGGCCACGTCTAGGAACAGAGACATCTCAAAGACGGAGATCTGCTATGTCCTCAGCAGCCCCTCGCCATGTGGCCTTTTGGTAAAGAGGAGGTGCTGCTGGTCTCCCCCCACTCCTAGGGAGGAAATGGCAGGGGCTCCCTCTGGGGTCGCCTGAGGTCTGCACCTGCCTGGCAAGATTCAGAGAGTGTCCCCTCGACATTGCAATGGCCTTTGATTCCCACTTCAACCGTCTGCTAATGCTGATTTGATTTCACCATCACCCTCCCTGTTCCTAATGAAGATTTTCATTCACTTTTATCACTGGGACACACCCAAATGAGTGATTTGAATTACAGGGACAGGCACAGTGGAGACAAAGCCTTCTCTTTTATTAAAAGCAGGGTATTAGCTCATATGATTATGTTCCCTGCCCTCTGATGCACCCTGTAAATCCATATACATGCCAATGAAAAATTTAATGATTTAGATGTAGTTCTTCTATGGAGGAAAGTCCTTAGATGAGGTTGCCCACATACCTGCAAATGCATAGCAGGAAATGAAGCTCTGGATGTTTTGCCTCCTCTACCCTCTACTTTCCACTTTATTTTTATTTTTATTATTATTTTTATTATTATTATTATTCCAGGACTTGGGGGCATGCTGCTCAGACCTGGCTACCTATCAGCTTAACTTACCTGGAGACTAAATTTGTATTCAAAGATTAAAAATGCAAATTTGTGTTATAGGACTGTGCCCTACATCTTTTAAATTCCTAGCAAGTCCCCTGTGTACATGAAAATGTCCTACTAGGCTTACTCAAAGATAATCAAGCATAGCATTGTAACTTTAATTCCAGGAAATTTTTATGCCTTCATTTCCCCCCCTCTCTCCACACACACAGAGGATGTGTATAAGACTGAAGATTTATTTTTTACTTTAATTTTGAAAAACTCCAGTGAAGAAGAAAAACAGAAGTCTCTTTTGCAGGAGAAGAAGCCTTCTGAGAAATTGGTGAACGGAGTCCATACTTCAGCACCAGTTCATACTTCTGGTGACATCCCTGCAGTGACAATTCTGCACAGATTGTGCAGAAGATTGTGCACAGATCATGTCATGCAAGGAGGGCAGAGGAATTAAGCTCAGTTTGCATTTAAAGGCAAACCTACCTAACGTACACTTTCTAAAACAAGATGTGATCAGAAACACAGCCACCCTTCAAAATTTCAACTTTTCCAAATTTTGCAATCCAGTTCTCAAGCCAAGCAATGCATACAAAAATGCATATACTAGAGCAATGTATATATTAGGAGAAATTTGCACGAAAATGCTGCTAAATATTCATCACTTAAAAAAAAACTGATGTGGAAATGTGGGAAACTGGATTTAAAACTGAAAATGTAAGAAACCAAATTGACATCAATAATGGCAGTGGCCAAGCAAAGCTGATAGAGGGATAGGAAGAGGGATTGGTTTTTAAAACACTCTGATTATTGTAGCTCTGTTGGGAGAATAAGGGTCTCTTAACAACTCTTACCACCTTTAACAAACTGCAGCTTCCACAATTCTTTGGGGAAAGCCATGCCTGTTTAAGGTAGTATCATATATGGTGTAAATGTGGCTTATATTAGCAATTGTTTCCTTTTGGAGAAGTGTTAAAAGAGCCTTCTGGGTTTTGGTTATGCTTTTGCTTGGGAGGAAAGATATAGTAGAACCCTGCTTGTCTGCAGAAGCATATCTGCTTCATCCAAGTAGAAAAAAGAATAGGATTGTGAACCGTAACAAGAGTCCTGATGGATCAGACCAAAGGCCCATCCAGCTCACCATCTTATCCTCACAGTGAACAAGCAGATGCCTATGAAAAGCATCACCAACTATTGGGATGCAAAAGTGACTATGGAGTAAAGTGCAGCTTAGTAAATGCTGTGCTTGGCACTCTTTCTCAATGAAAGGCTCCCACTGGGGAAAGAAAGGCAGCTGGGCTGGGAGAGGGAAAACGGTGGAAAAGGAAGGTGGGCTGACAATGGAAGGAAGGCAAAAACAGTGGCTGTTTGGGGAAATGGCTACTAATGGGCACAAAGGGCTTTGGCACTCATAGTTGCAAAGGAGACAAGAAATTCCATTTGGGAGGGACAGGTTTGATGTGGAACATGCAACACAGGAACAAGTCAGTCCATTGGTCCATCCAGATCAGCACTGTGTACACCAGGGGTGTGGAAACTGACGCACAGGCCACACCTGACTCCCCAAACCACACCTTCCTGCTGCACACCTGGCATCATATGTTACATCAGGTGTATGGTAGAAGTGACACAGCTACAAAAAGCAGAATTGAGTTCCATCTTGTTTGGTTTGGGGAAACTGGCCAGTGCACTTGAAGCCTGCAAAAAGTAGGGTATATACACAGAGGGAGAGAGAGACAAACACACATCTGCTAATGCATGGTGAATTCAATTTTGTATGGACTTTGTTTCCCCCATTCCAGTGCAGTGCTATTTTTCTAGGAAAAGAGTTGCTGGAACTCACCATGAACGTCTCCCCTGTTCCCTTAGAATGGCAATGGTGCCCACCTGAGAGGTGCCGGAACTGAGGTCCCGTGAGTTCCAACTGAAAAGAAAGCTCTGCTCCAGTGTGTCAACTTAACACAAAAATATACGGTACAGTGGTACCTCTGGTTGCGAACGGGATCCATTCCGGAGGCCCATTCACAACATGAGCAAAACACAACCCGCGTCTGTACATCTGCATGTGTGTGGGTCGTGATTTGCCGCTTCTGTGCATGCGAGTGACGTCATTTTGCGCGTCTGCGCATGTGTGAACGGCGAAACCCAGAAGTAATTGTTTCCGGTACTTTCGGGTTGCTGCAGGACACAACCTGAAAACGCTCAACCTGAAGCAAACGTAATATGAGGTATGACTGTATAGCATAATAACAAACAAAAACAATTACCCCCCCCACACACAGTTTAAAGGCCATAGATTCTTAAATTAGCCAAAGTCCTGGGAGAAGAGGAATGTTTCTGCCTGGTGCCTAAAGATATGCAACAAAGACACCAGGTGAGCCTCCTTGGGGAGAGTATTCCACAAATGGAGAGCCAACTCAGAATAGGAGATCAGGTTAGTTCATATGGGGAGAGGCAGTCCTGGAATTACGGTATTGCAGTCCTGAGCCGTTTAAGGTTTTATGGGTCAAAACCAGCACTTTGAATTGGGCCCAGAAATTAACTGGCAGCCACTGCAGTCAGGCCAGGATTCATTATGCTCAGACTCTCTTGCCCCAGTGAACAACCTAGCCATTGATTTCTGCATCAACTGAAGTTTCCAAGCAGTCTTTGGAGGCAGCCCCACTTATAACGCATTGCAGTAATCTAACTTAGAGGTTATCAGAGCATAGACAACAGAAGTTAAGTTATCCCTGTCCAGATGGCCTGAAGCTGATAGAAGCTCCATGCCACTGAGACCACCCTGGGCTGGGCCTCAAGCAACAGCAATGGATCCAGGAGTTCCACCAATTTGTGTACCTGCTCCTTCAGAGGGAGGGTAACCCCATCAAGAGCAGGCAACCTCCCATCCATCTGGTCAAGGGAACCACCCACAAATAGTGCCTCCATCTTATCTGGATTGAGCTTCAGTTTGTTGGCTCTCATCCAGTCCATTACCAAGGCAAGTCACTGGTCCAGCACTTCCACTGCCTCACCTGCAGATGTAAAGGAGCTGTGTGTCATCAGCACTTTACTGACAAAGCACTCCAAACCTCCACTCAGCAGTTTCATGGAGATGTTAAACAGCATAGAGGATAAAACTGATCCCAGAGTAACCCTGTTTTGAAGGCTCCACGGGGCCAAAAAAAAAAAAAAGAAAAAACACTCCCCAGGCATCATGCTCTGGAAAAACAGAAAAATTCTACCAATGAATATTATCCAGACTAGTTAAATGGAGCCTCCATATACAGTGAGAGTATACCATTGAATGAGGGACACGGGTGGCAACAGGACTTGCTGATCAGAAGGTGGGTGGTTCGAATCCCCCTGACGAGGTGAGCTCCCGTTTCTCGGTCCCTGCTCCTGCCAACCTAGCAGTTCGAAAGCACGTCAAAGTGCAAGTAGATAAATAGGTACCGCTCCGGCGGGAAGGTAAACGGCGTTTCCGTGCGCTGCTCTGGTTAGGCAGAAGTGGCTTAGTCCTGCTGGCCACATGACCCGGAAGCTGTACGCCAGCTCCCTCAGCCAGTAAAGCGAGATGAGCGCCGCAACCCCAGAGTCGATCCTAATGGTCAGGGGTCCCTTTACCTTTATACCATTGAATAACAGGGTGCTGGGACAAACACAGCAGGGAAATGCCACCACCTTCCTGCGTATGAGGGCAAACTTGAGAATTAAAGGAGGAGGGGGCTTGCATTGTTGCAGCCAGCCTCTAGCAGAGAGATCTGTCAACTCCCTTCTAATGTGGACCGATGTTGCCGTTCCTTGGATTCTCGGAAGGAGGGAGGGGGAGGCTGAGCTGAAGGGGCGGACGGGATGTTAGGAGGACAATCGATGCCAGGGAGGAGGAGTGTGGGGGGGGCAAGGGGCTGCAGTTTGGGGACGGGGCAGTGTGGAGCGTGGCGCCGCTCGGCTGGAGGAGGGGGAGGGAGGGGAAGGTCGAGGGCCGGTGGGGGGCGGCGAGCAGTAGTAGATCTGCGCCTTGGACGGGCAAGGTGGGGGTGCGCGATCTGGACTGGTAGAGAGTGGGCGGCGCTGCCCCGCTCCCTTCGCCGTCCCCTGGCTCTCGGGCCATGGCTCCTGCGCCTCCGCTGGCGGGAGCGTCTCGGGCGAGCCGTCGGTGCGAGGCTGCCTAGGATGAACGCTCTGGAGGGGCAGCAGCCCCCCAGCGCCCACGACCTGCTGGACGTGGCCGCCGTCTACTGCGACAACCTGAGCCTCTTCCCGCCCCCTCAGAGACCCCCGGGGGCCCACCCCGCCGGCTACAGCCTGGGGGAAGCGGGAGGCGGCAGCCCGTACCTGTGGCTCAACGGCTCGGCCGTGCCGTCCAGCCCTTACCTGGCCGCCGGGCCCAATGGAGCCGCCGCCGCCGCCGCCTCCTTCCTGCCCTCGGCCTACGGCGCAGCCGGCGCCCGGCAGCTGCTGGGCGCGCCGTCGGCGGGGCCCGAGCTCAGCTGGCTGTCTCTGGCCGGCCAGCAGGACTTCTTCAAGCTGGTGCGCCCGCCCTACTCCTACTCGGCGCTCATCGCCATGGCCATCCAGAGCGCGCCCGACAAGAAGCTCACCTTGAGCCAGATCTACCAGTACGTGGCCGGCAACTTCCCCTTCTACAAGAGGAGCAAAGCCGGCTGGCAGAACTCCATCCGACACAACCTCTCGCTCAACGACTGCTTCAAGAAGGTGCCCAGGAACGAGGACGACCCAGGTAAGGGCTGCCATCCCTCGCAGGACCCACCGCGTCTCTCGCCCGGTTATTCCACAGAGAACCGTGGCTATTTGGTTCCTTATTTCCTTGATACTCCGCCTTTTCCTCCAAGGAGCTCAAGGCGGCGTACATGGGTCTCGTTTAATTCCCGCAGCAACCCTGCGAGTTGCTTCGGCTGAGAGGCGCTGACTGGCCCCAGGTCGCCCAGTGGGTGGATTCGAACCAGGGTCTCCCAAGTCCTAGTCTGACCACACTGGCTTTCATCTTCAGGATTGCTGGCCGCGGGTTAGTCGCCGCGTGAGTCACAGGCGGGAGGTGCGTGACTCCAGCGCGGGGAAACGTGGGTTGTCTCCCCAGCCTTTCGAAGCAAGTTTCTAAGAAATTGGGAGGAGAGGTTCCTACATTTTTGTTTTAGTGTGGAATCAGAGGGTGACAGTAACTCTAGAAGTGGCGGTGTGAAATGTTAGGAGGCACGTTCAAGACGAATTAATGTGGATAAGATCGCCCATAATGACAAATTTCACAGCACAAGCCACAGCAAGTGTATTTAAAAGAAACGTCCGCCGAGTTCAATAGAACTTGCTCCTGAGCCAACTCGCGTGCTGCAGGTACCGCCACGCAAGTTGGCTCAGGAGTTACTATCAAGTCCATTGGACTTGTCCAGGGAAGGCGTGTTTAGCATAGCAGCCTTCCGCACTCTGTGCTGTTCTCAGTCAGATCGATTCAAGGACCTGTCCTTCCCCAAATTTTCATGCGAAGGTTTTGTTTTTGTTTTTTGAGCGCTTTAAATACATGTTTAAAATATCCTGCCCTATTCACAAACAGGGCAGTTTAAAAGGTTCCCCCTGCCTTTTACACGTGCAGAGCAGGACTCTAAAAATGATTAGACATTACAGGGTTAAGGACATTATATTCTGGATTAATTAATACAGAGCACAGAGTATAATATATTTAAAGATGTTTAAACCGTCCTTCATCAGCTCTCAGTTTGCATTAGTCTATGCTGAACAAGTGTCTCCTGGTGGCTCTTTACTCATAGTCATTGTTTGAATCTAAAACCACCTGTTCACCCTGGCTTATCACAAATCAATCTCCTTCCTCTTCTTTTAGATGGTATGCCTGTGAACAGGACCTATTTTTTTATTTGGTTGTTTGTTTTTAACATCTAACAATTTCAGTTACTTTATAAGTACTACTACTAATCTTTACATTTCTTGATAAGTTTTCATTGAAGGGGGGCAGGGTTGTGTGTGTGTGTGTGTGTACGTACACCCCCCCCAAACATTTATTGGTTTAGACATTTCCTTTAGGGGATGCATGGAGACAACCCAAGGGAGAGGAGCCTATGGTTCCATCTGTGCATTGCTCTAAAACATGCTGTTGCATGGATGAATGTAGCAGTGGGAAAGATCCAGCTCCCATTGAAGCCAATGGCCACATTCTTGCTAAGCATAGTGGAACAGGACTGCACCCAACTTGTTTGCAGCCACCTTGACATCCAAACGTCATTCCACCCAGTTTCTCCAAATCTACTCCCACTCTGATTTGCCCCATTGCTGAGATAATAGTAGTGGCTTAATTATCATGTTCCCTTGATTTGACTAATGGAAATCAAAGGCTACTGCTTTCAAACCAGGTGTTTCACCCAGTGTTTTAGTGATCAGCAGACTAAAAGTAGTTGCTCTTCACATGAGTCTGAAAGCACCTATGAGGCTCTCTGTCTTTATTTGTGTGCATGGGGTGTGCATTTGTTTGGTAAAGGAAGTGGGAAGGGAACATCTTTGAAGGCAAGTGTACACTTTTAGCCAATGAAACTTTTGCATTTCTCCAGACATGGGAAAAGTCATAAGCATTTTTACAGCGAAATCCTATGCCTGTTTACATGAAGTAAGCCCCTATGGCTGTTTACACAAAGTAAGCATCATAAGTGGGTCTTATTTCCAGATAAGTGTGCAGAGGGTTGAAACTACAGGTGGATCTTCTAAGGGTAGGTTAACATCAAATTGTACTGTTGGTGTAAAGTGTGCAGTCACAGAAGCATGTATGGTGGTTGTCATGTAGTAGCTGAAGCTGCAATCCTATGCACACTTGCCTGGGGGTAGGGGGGAGTCCCATTAAACATAACAGGAGTAAACATGCATAGCATTGCACTTAAAGAAACTGATCTGTGAATCAAGACATCCTTAGCTCAAATCTTGCCTCTGCCATGAACTCACTAGGTAGCCTTCGACAAGCCACTCTTAGTTTCAGTCTAAAAGTGCTATACAGGAGACAATATTGCTTGACCTACATGACTATTTTAAAGATTGCAACTAGATAATGCCTATGATGCATTCTGAACCTTTGAAACCACTGTACAAAGGATCATTTGTTATCGTAATTATTATTATTATCATACAAAGAAAAGACTGCTAGCATGAACACATCAGATGTGCTTTGTCCCATTAGCAATATTGCTTTGAAATGATTATCTAATAGATCATTATCCATATGACATATGCCTCAATGCATATGGTGTCTGAAGGTGCTTATTGAGGATGACATGGTCTGGTAACGTCATATTAAGTGTGTGACCTGAAATGTCCCAATTAAGATCAAGGCACCTAGAAATATCAATGGCTTGTTTTAGCAGAATCATCCTACAGCACAATCCTCTGCACACCTACTTAGAAGGAACTTGGTAGTTCAGCAGAACTTGTTCCCTGGGAACTGTGAGCATGACTGCAGTCTTAGATACTGTTGCCAGCATTGAGGAAAGTTTTAATTCACTTTGAACCATTATAATAGGAAAGAATAATCAAACTAATCCAGTTAAACATTGGAATAAAAGATGGGCATTGTATTATTTAATAATGTCTATAATGAACAGCCATCTCCACAGGGGACAATATTTATGTATTTATTTATTCTAATTTATAATATATTCATTATTATTATTATTATTATTATTATTATTGGAAATAAAGTCCGACAGATTGCAGTATGAATTACTTCCATATTTGTGTACAGTGCCAGACTATTATTTCCAAACCACACATTCCAGGTTGATATCCCTGAGGCCCACCATTTACTTTCTCTAAAGTAAATCTGTTGACCCAACTGAACTGTGTTGAAAGACAATTGGTAATTTAGGAAGAACAGCTTTACAACCATCACACTTACCATATTGGGTTATAGCCAACTAAGACATACTCAGAGTAGAACCAGTGAACTCAATAGACCTAAGTCAAGTATGACTTGGTTAGATATCACCTATCACAAGGTGGGGAGAGGAGAGCTTCTGTCAGCATATTTAAAATACTGGAGAGTCATGCAGGAACATGAATTTGCATTCACCTGATGACGGCTGCTTGCTTTACTGCTTCTGTTTTGACCCACTGGCCTTGGCTGTCCAGAAATGTCTCACTTTCAAAATGTTCTTTGCCTGCCTGTTTAATTCACATGTGTTTGGTTGGTTCATAGGTAAAGGCAATTATTGGACCTTGGATCCTAACTGTGAGAAGATGTTTGATAATGGCAACTTCAGGCGGAAGAGGAAAAGGCGATCTGACCTAGTGAATGGGCCTGGAGTCCCTAACAAAGTGGAAGACAAAAGCAAGAGCTGTCTTGCCCAACAAGCCCCCGACCTGGGCTCTGCTGAACTGCCCTGCTCTCCAAGTCCTATGAACCACTGCAAATCCTCCAGCCTGAATTCCAGCCGTTGTTTGTCTACGTTCGTCTCCACCATGAATGCTGTGGCCCATGGCAGAAACGGCTTCCCCAGGCAGCTTTCCGGGGGGTTGGGGGGCGAACTCACATCTGAGAGGCAGAATGGGCCTGGGTTGAGCTCTTGCTCCGCCTCCAACAGCAGCCCAGTTTCAGGATTCGAACTCAGTCCTCAGTCCCACTCCAAGATGAATTACTATGCAAGTGCAGGTGGACAGTCAAACTGGTTCGGCACCCCTGTCCTGGGCACCTTCAGTGTGAACAATCTGATTTATAGCAGAGAAGGGACAGAAGTTTAGAATGATGGTCAAATAGCCTTTGTTTGAAGTAAACACCATAAGCAGCCTTTTTTGGGGGGGGGGTGCCTAGTCAGATAGTCTTCAGAATTTTCAGTCCTGGAGCCCACATTTAGCCCCAAGATGCAACCTAAGGCCTACTTTTAAACTGTATTAATTCTGTCATTTCTTCCCTCTCCCTCTCATTTTTTCCTTGCCTCTCTTCCCTTCTGTATCTCTCTTTTTAAAACACAAACAAACAAAACAGAACGAAATGTGGGCAGTACTGCTTCTACAGCTCAATTTAGACCAGAGATCAACAACTCAGTTGTGCATTGTGATGCAACCAAGTGGCACTAGTAAGAGTGACTCTTTAGTTGAGGCTAAATGGGGTGCAAGAAGATCGACCCACAAGATACAATTCACTGTACTTTGCACATGCCACATGGGCTTCAATCAGCTTACACAGGGAAACATCCTAGTGGATTGATTCTGCCACCTGTCAGTTAGAAGCAGGAGTTGCCATTTGTTTGTGGTTTTTCCCACCTCCTGTACCAAATTAGGACAGTGTGTTTCTGTGCCTAACAGCAGCAGCTTTACAAATTAAACAACAAAATGATGATAAAATGTACTTCTAACCAGGTGGTACAAACCAGAATACACCCTCCACCCCACTTTTTTACAATGTAATCCTTAGCATGTTTGCTTGAAAGCAAGTCCCATTGGCTTCACTTACTTTCAAGGAATTGTGCTAAGATCCATGGTTTTCAGTTAAGGATCCTTCTCTACTCTCGTGTAGTAGCTTTGTTTACAATCTTGATACTATGCATCGTGGCCTTAGATCCTTGATTCTAACAAATGCACTAATCCACAGCATAGGGCTATTTTGGAATGTGTATATAATAGTTGTGTTTGGTAGAATTAAATCAGTTTTAACTGTATTTTGAAAAACATCAGTCTTCCTTTAGAGTTTTCTAATTAAGTGTACCCTGCTGCCATGTTACTGATCTATGCAATGAACAAAATAAAATGCTGCCTCTTAAATTGCCTCACATCCTAACTCAGCACACAAGTGTTGTTGTTTATGTTTTATTTAAGTTTCAGGGATTAAGTTGAAGCTGGGCTCCTCACTGGAGCCTCAGCAGTGTCAGGGTTCTGTCTTGGAATCTGCCAAGTAACAACAAAAGGGCTGTCACATAGATGATTGAGCAAACTTGTCTTTTGCTGCTGCAGAGGGGTAGGATCCAAAGAAGTGGGTTCAAGTTACAAGTAAAACGAAGGATGAGACTCTGAAAGTGGTGGATTCTCCTTCATTAGAGGTTTTTTCAGCAAAGGGCTGTATAGCTACTTATCAAGGATTCTGTAGCAGTGAGTTTCCAGTAGGTTTTACTTCCAAGTTCTGGCAATTGCATTACCACTGAATAACCACATTCAATTCTTGTATGTCTAGGATTAGAGATAAAGATGACCAGTTCAAAAGGTGTGATTTCAAGTAAGCTTTAAGCCTAAAACCTCTTGACTGAGAAATAAGCCCTAAGTGGGGATGAGCAGAGAATTTTTTGGGGGGTGGGGGTGTCAAATAATTGACAAACTATCCTGGATTTCACAAGCACCAGTTTCTGTAAAACACACACACAACCCAATCTTCTTACCCTGCTCATAAGCAAATTATGTTGAAATCTGTGGAACTTGCTGTAGATGAAATGCTAGGCATGAAATAAGTATACGTATATAACAAATATTTTGATGGCTTTTACCCATTTGCAAGCTGCAGTTTTTGGCATTTGTCAGAAGAGTTTTATTTGTGATTTAAAAAACAACCAGAAATGAAGTAAAGACTTCTTAAGTGGGTTTAAGCAAACTTTGCCCTTCAAGGAAGTTAGAATAATTTGCATAAATGGATGTGCTTCTTTGCAGGACAGAGAGGTAAATAAATACAATATGGAGATTAATAAAAAGGTGACAATCTTCTACAGGGATTTAGCTTGAGCAAATCAATGAAATGATATTGCTACAACAACAACTGATAGTGCCCATGTCTACCCAAAACTAAAACCCACTCAGTTAAATGGGTCTTATTCCCAGGAGTGTAAAAGGTTGCAGTCAAACAGCCTCACAGCACCTTAAAGATGAACAAATATATTAAAGCTTTTGTGGTCTTGGGTGCAGTGGAATATAATGCCTTTATACAACTGAAAACTTTTTCCAAGTCCTTCAAGGGAGCCACACTGAAGTACACAGCACACCTAATGTGCATCTCAAAAGCTTTTGCTTTGTATAACCTGTGCTACAGTTACAGCCATCAACATCATCGTTGCCGAACATGGACAGCAGTTTAATAATATCTTCAGAAACTGACTGAAAGTAGAAGTCCCTTAAAAGATATGATCTTGCAGGGAGAGCCCATGCATGTTACTTAGAAGTAAACCCCACTGAGTTAAATGTTGTTTCTTCAAAACAAGTGTCAAGGATGGTAGCCAAGTAAATGTGCAAGTGTAAGCGAACTTACTCAGAAGTAAATCTTACTAGTCTCAATGAGACTTAATAGCAATAGTGCCTACAACTGCAGCTTTACGGGCTTCCTAGATGTGTTTCCTCAGGTACAGTATTGAATTCCACTTCAATAAGATTGTACTCCCCGGTATGCATATAGGAGATTTACGCCTTAATTTGTTGCCCACACACTTGAAATTTGTTATCAGATCCACTGATACAGTACATTATTGCTATTATTAAACATCCCCATTCTCTAGAAAGCGCAAAGCCTATTCCATTCATTTAAAGGGAATTTCGGTTCACTTCCAACTCTCAGTTGGTGAAGCCCCTGATTTTTCACTGCGCTTTCCTTTGGGTAACGCGATCAGGGTCCTACGGCAAAGTAGAGGGTCCTGAAATAGCGATATTACTTCGGAGAAAGTGAACAAATCTCGCCGATCTCACTGGGCTCCACTCCCCAAAACAAGCGCTAAGGATCCCTTTCATCCGTTCGACAGAGTTACATCGCAATTCACGGCCATCGGCACAGCAAAGGGGGGACGAGCCCGCTTGTTTACGCGCCGGCAGCTCTGCGGCTCCTGTTTTTTCACACTATGCGACCAGGGGGCAGGTTCGCGTGTCGAGCACCCAAATAAATCCCCGCCGGTCGGCAAGTTTGTAAATAAAAACTCTTTTCTTTGGACAAACACAAAAGATCATCTTTGTGTCCGCCCAGGGAGCTGGGACAATAATTTATAGGAAGAATTTTGGGGATTTAATCGAGCGTCCAAAATTAATCCGCATCCCCGCTGAGGAGCCCTTTAATTGCTCGCTTCCTGAATGCTAACCTCTTTTGTGGGAGAGAAATGTAGAGAACAAGCCCTTGGCCGTCCAAGTGGCGAAACCGCATCGGAGGTGGGGCCCTTCAAAGTCGGTCTCACGCAAAGAAGCGCTCTGTCGCGAAAGGAGGACGAGGAGAATTGGCAGCGAGGGGGCAGGGAGGTGTCCCCTGCCTGCCTTGCGCCCCCTTCCTTGGGCGATCCACGGAAAGCCAATGTTTCCAAGTAAATGGATGTGTAGATCCTAAGCACGGCGCGATCCTGACCCTGTCTGCTCAGAAGTACACCCCGAGGAGGTCCATGGGACGTAATTCACCGTGTAGAATAAGACAGCAGCCTTATTCAGCCCCACTGAGTGCTATTTAGCTACAACCCTTACAAGCCAACAAGGGCAGCCATGGCTTCTCTGTCCCAGAATCCTCGGAATCCTTTGTGGCATTTTGGTTGGCTGTAATAAAGTTATTGCTCAACTGGGTTGTTGCCATTTTCCCCCGTATAGGCCAACATGGCTGCCTTTGCGCCTTAGTCAGTGCGCATCGTAGGAAAGAAGGCTGCCTTTCTTTCACTGAGTACTTACTCCCCGCATTTATTCCTGTGGCATTTCTACCGGGCAAAGCAGACCGAGCATTGGAGCAACACCGGCCTATTGAATCAAAAGTAAATTCAAGCTTTTAAAATGGGACTTCCTGCGTCCCGTTGATTTGAAGCGGACTTTTGGAAATGCGCTCACTTCAGGTCTTGCTTTTTAAAGCCACAAAGGCGGCGTGAATTGGAGGGTTGGCTAGGGTGGGATTCCCGTCGATTTAAAGGCAGCTACCTCGGCTTAATAGACGGCGATTGGTCTTAGAAGGAAGCCGTCTGGACTCTGGAGCGAAGCAAGGAGTTAAGGCGCGTTCAGCCGGCACCGAGGTGATTCCAGATTCTTTTTTGATAACTTACGGAGAGGTTCCTAAGCTTCCTTGTTTACTCGGAAACAAGTTCTGCCGAGTTCAAATCCAATCCTAAGTCATGTCTACTCAAGTCAGAAGTAGGTTCTACTAAGTTGAAAGGGACTTATTTCCTCCGTAGAGTCTGAATTAGACACTTAGCTTTTTAATTGCTAGTCACCCTGGTAATGCGTTTTGAGATAGAAAAATATTATTAATGTGTCTGAGATGGAAAAATATAAACAAATGAAATTCTGTTTTGTTTGTGGTGTGTTAGGAATTGGGCGGTTTAGGTTCTGGAATTTAGACTGCAATGCTATCACGCTTTCCCCCAAAAGCAGTCCCGTTGATCTCGATTATATTTGCGACCAGACATTTACACGACTGCACTGCCTACCATGGTCGCTGTTTCCAAACTTACATGTTCGGGTGCAAAGAAATCCGCCTACCCTCCTATTTTCCGCTTTCAAGACTGGGCCTTCTCGCTCCCTCGGTCGCCTGTCACTTCCATAACCGTGGCTCGCAACAATGGCCCTAATTAAGGCAGGGCTGGGGAGAGAGAGAAAAGGGGCGGGGGGGGGGGACAAGAGTTCAGGTTAAGGCTGTTCTTTTGATGATGGCGCCTGACCGGGAAGGCGGCTGACTTGGCGAGCGAAGGAGCCGGGCGCTCTCTTGACACCGCGCAATGCTAAACCCGTTTACTCGGAAGTAAGGCCTGCGGATGTCTGTGCGACCGACCTCCCTGACAGCGTAAACATAGAACTGCAGTCTAGGTAGTTGTGCCACATGTTGGCGCGTCGCTTGAAGTGGAATTTTTAAAGGACGGGTTTGTTTGCTTTTTTTTTTTAAGATTTCTTGCATAATCTGTTCAAGTGACCTGGACGCGTCGAGTTTCTAAAAATATCTTCTGTTTTGTAACACCTTCGTTGAAAGGGGGGGGGGGGGGGGCTTCAATACACAAGCCTTTTCTGTGCCACTGAATTCCACCTGGGATGTTATGCGTTAGGATGCCAAGAGGAAAATGCCTGAACTCCAGTTTTTCACATTGCTGGAGTACATCAAGCTCTAGCAATATAAAGGCCGGACACCAGTATAGTAGTAGTAGTAAACAAGCCTCATTTAATTCAGCGGTGCTTAGTTCTGAGTAGAGATCTGCAGTACACTGCAATGTACATTTACCTAGACTCCCATTTAAATCTATGGGACATATACAGCAATTTCCTGGATGCCTATTCATGGAAGCAAGTTCCATTGGGGCTCTCAGGATTTAGGATTACAGCTTTCTTTTGGGGTAAACGTGTATACATTTGGAGTGTGCCTAAGTTGCGCGCGTTTGTTGTCTTGGGCTCGCTGTTTGCATTCCTTAATATTCTAAGTGTGTAATGTATATAGGAGGCTTTTCGGTTACCGTGTGTGTTGCTGTTGCTACGATGGTACATGGGGATAAAGGCTTTGCAAGAAAACTTAAGGCATGCTTTTGCAAAGGCTTCTATGAACACAGGCTTGGCGGGCCGCGCCGTGCGGCAGTCGGGCTATAGGCAGCATTTCTTCCTTTCCTTTTGTTTTAGAAGAGGGAGACAAAACATTTATCCTGAAATCAAAGGAAGTCAATAAAGCGAAACACCTCCTAATTGATTCCCACTGGCCCGCGTTGTCCTCGTCAGCAGGCCGGGGGAAAGCGAAATGGACAAGGAGGCCGCAAACAAGTCCGCCGCTGCCTGCGCAGAGACAATGGGCCCTGCCGGAGAGAGAGAACTCCTCCTGTGACAGGAGCGGGACCCGCTGACCCCGGACCCGGAGCCGCATTCTCGCCCTCGCGGAGGTGCCTCGGAGCCAAAGGCAAGCTCGAAGGTGGGGGCGGGAAGTCCCGAGGGACAGACAAGGACAGCGAGAGGGATTATTTCCTGATCAAGGCATGATTGAAACGACACACATGCATCCCTTGAGTTGTAGGGGCTGGCATTATTATTATTATTATTATTATTATTACACCCTATACCCGGTTCACAGAATAAAATCAAGATATAAAAAACACAAAATACATAATATAAATAAAAACAACCCAATAGCCCCCCCCCAGCACATTTTGAAAGGGCATAGGGTGCTTCCACATAGCTGTTCATTGGGGGGGAGAATCGCGGATCCTTATGTGTGATGATTTTTCACAGCATCGCCATGACGTTTCTGGGGGCCATGCACCCCCATTTTAACCTGGATTCACCATCTCTGGAAAAAGCAGGTTACTTTTTGTTGCACCGACCCATTTGTAATATATGAATTTCCTGCGTGCAGCATTAAGCTGCCTGCCCCCCCATAACTTTTAAAACACCTTCCTTTGCCACCCCACAGGAACTATAAAGTTCCCCCCTCACAGAGTTACAATTCCCTGCAACCTTGGCAAACCACAGCTCCCTGGAAATGTGGTGTGTGTGCTTGAAATATGCTTTAACTTGATGGTGGGTAAAGGTAAAGGGTACACAACCTTAAAATACAAAAGATGACAGGTGTGGCTTAGTGGCTAGATGTGGGAGAGGCCTGACATCAGTTCTTCACTCTGCCATGAAGCTTGCTGAGGAACCCCAAGAGGCTCACACGTCTTATCAGCCTAACCTACCTCACCATGGGGGAGGGGGAGGGGAGATGTACACTGCCTTTCAGTTCCTTGGAGAAAAGGTAAAATAGAAATGTGATAAAGAATAATGAAATCAAACACTGTGAAGCCTTTCCTAAATTAATAGTAGTTCTCTGGACTGGTTCATTAAGTGGATCTCCTCTCTGCCTGTCATATTCAGCTGAAGTTCCTTCTGTGTCTCTTATGGGGTGGTGGCAAGAACAAATGTTGAGTGTAGCAGTCCTCCAGGAAATACATTGTGTGTGTGTGTTATATAATTTTCATTGATGAACTATTGGGCATGGAGTGTGTTGAGAGAGTGTGCTCCATTGCTTTGAGGGACAAGGTCAAATTCTTTGCAGGGTTGCCAAATTACAAGAACACTGCTATGAATCTTGCTGGCGTGCTTGCTGCCAAACCCCATAGTGCTGACGTCAAGAGGCTCATAAGTGCCAATGTTGTGCTCAGAAGTAAAAGCTGGGCCCAACTATCTGAGAAACAGAAAACGTCTGTCATTACAGCCATTAAAAATTTGCCACCATTCATTGAGTGGGACCCAGAAGAAGAAAATGACGATGACGCATAGGGTGGAGCTTGGACCTGAGGCACAAAAGCAGAAGTACTTTAAGGGTATTTACAAGGATGTGACAAAGTATTACCTGCCCAAAGACGAAGGAGAAGTAGAGGAAGTTCTGGACATAAAAAGCAAGGTGTTTTAATCTAGTTTGGGAAATTTAAGTATAGAAACTGAGTGCATTCTACCCATATATATAATTTGTGTTCCTGACGTTACCTGTTAAGTGCTTTTTTAAAACACATGTTTTTAATGTGTGTAGTTTTCCATCTATTTTTCCAAGTGTTCATTATCAGCTTTTCATATGCACAATCGGCCAGCCGCCTGCCCTGCACCTGCACACTAAAAAGAAGACTGAATTCAGTTCTGGTATTGAAAACCAGACCTCTTAGGGATGATCACTGATTCCTTTTATTTGGTTTTTAATATGTTGCTGCCTCTTTTAATTCTTGTGTTTGTTTATTTTATTTTATTTTATTTATTTACAATTTTATTTTTATTTAAATTGTCTTTTAAGTAAACCCCAGGCATGTTGTTGTTTTAAAAATAAGTTTGTGTGATATGTAGGTTGGTCCTCATTCAATTCAATTTCAGTAGGTGAGAGATGCAGCCTGACCTGCCAGAGCTATTGTGTACCAGTGATGGTGTTGGGTCACAGTGCTATAACCTTTTGCCAAGGACACCATGCCAGTCTGCCTGCAGTGGCTCATAGGACTTGATTACAAATCAAATCGACACTATGCAGGCATTACAATTGGTGGTGGGGAGTAGGAATGTGCATGCTGGTTCTGCTCCATGCTGCAATAGTTGCATTCATTTTCCAGGGTTCTGAAATGTCTCTATATAGACAAAAGTCTCCCCACTTGGGACGAGTCACCTACCATTCAGAGTGCATCCATACCACAGTTTGCACATTATATTTGAGATTTCTCATGACATAAAAGCCACTCCTGGAAAATTAATGGAATGCAATTAAATATAGCTTAGGTTTAGCACTCATTTCCATGTTATTTGATTATGGGGGGGGGGGGGAATCTGTTTGTTAACTTGGAAAATTATGGGGTTTTTGCATGGCATTCCCTGCCCTTTTCAAAGGTTCACATCACAGCTCCTCATATGATGAATCACAAGGCAGCATACCAGGATGCACTGCTCTCCTTCGCCCATTTCAAGGTTCCCACTTTTTAAAAAAGTTGGCCTGACTAGAAAGTCTGCTGTTATTTTGGCATAGAAAGCCATGGAGAAAGGTAACGTCCAGAAAATTGGCCGAATGTAGAGGGTAAGCATGGAGGAGAGATGAATCATGCGGGGACCACAGTGCGCTTGTGCATACAGGGTGTGCAGAACCAACATCTCTGTTGGCATCTGATCACATTCATGGATAGTTGTTGTTTGAATGACATTTACTGCAACATGGCGCTATAGCGGTTGAGATGTGACGGGGCAGGAGCTAAACTAACACATTAAACCCCACATATGAATGCAGCCAAAGTTAAAGATACGTCGACCATGGGAGAAAGGGCTAAGCAGTGCATCACCACTGCCTCCCACGTGTTTAAACTGCCTTAATTGTCACACCTGCATAAGGCTATTGGGGCGATAAATTCAAGGATGTTTAATTAACTTAGGTAGCAAATCAGTTTGCACTAATGTAGAATAGCAGTTAGGAATTCTGGAGAAGAAGAAAATGGGTTGCTTATTGTGGATGAGAAAACTGAGATAAGACACGTTTGCAAAGAATGATTCTGGGCCACCTCATGTAATTAAATAAATGTTCCCTAAACTAAATCTGGGAAGGAGACGTTCTTCTGTGGAGCTGGTGGTGACACACAATCACAGTTGTTGTTCTTGTGGTAAGCTTTACCTTGCATTAGGTTTCACTTATGGTAATTTATCACCTTTACTCTGACTTTTCACTCTTGAATGCTCCAGTGCTCTTCACCTGCCTAAGGCGTGCATTAACGCGAGCATCTGAGCCCAAGTATCTCTGGCTGTTTGACTGACTTAACCTTGGGGTGTTGGTGGGAAATGTCTTTGCTGTGATAAGCCTTGGGGCAGAGTTGTTTGGATAGCAGCGAAGACAGAAACAACCCTAAGAGGGAGTATATTTAATACTTTAATTGAAGGTTTCAGATTCACAGCAGCAATTTGAAATTAAATTACATAGGCTGGAAGTGTTTCCTTTGCAATCTGCACCTGCTGGAACCAAATCAATATAAGATTGTCTTAATAATAGCAGGTAGGTTAGTTAAGCAGTTTCTGGAATTCCTGGGTAGTAGCACCAACTAGGAAGGAGAAACATCGCAGAGATATTATGGCAATAGTCCCTCCTTGTAAATATTTGTGGAGGGGATTTCGTCTTTGGGAAGCAAATTTTGTAGAGAGTGGTTGGCAGATGGATCACTTCAGAGGATCGTTGAAACCAAATGCTTACTTGGAGAAACTGACTGACAGACTAATCCTAAATGAATACAAAGAGTATGAACATAAGAACCCGGCAGGGTGGGAAGAAAGATCTATCTAGTCCTACCTTTCCTAGTCCAGCCTTTCCCAGCCTTGTTGGGCCCACCGGATGTTGGGGACTACAACACACTGCAGCCCTAGCCAGCACAACTACTTCTACACATGGCCATACAGATGCTTCTGGGGAGCTTACAAGAAGGGCATAAAGTCCCTTGTTATTTCTCTCAGCTTCTGCTACTTGCAGATATTTTGGCTCCGACTTCATTTATTTTATTTTATTTTATTTTATTGTTACATTTATATCCTACCTTTCCTCCAAAGAGCTCTGGGTGGCCTACTCTCCTCCCCATTTAATCCTCATAGCAACCCTGCAAAGTAAATTAGGCTTGACAGATTGCGATTAACCCACGGTCGCCCAGCGAGCTTCACGGTTGATCTGGGATTTATTTATTTCATAAAATTTATACACCGCTTGATGTTTTAAAACACCCAACCCTCAAAGTGGCTTACGAAAAGACCAAGAAGAAGAAAAAATACAATCCTACCTTAAAACATACAAAAGTTAAAATGCAATTACCCTAAGGGTCATTGATAGGGGTTGGCTTCAAATTACAGTGGCCGAAGTGCCCTGAGAAAACAATTTACTGTGATTAAAACCTAGATCTCTTGGTTAAAACATGTCTGTCCCTGTCCCTTGCCACCCACAGTTGAGCTCATAGTGCTTCCTTAGCTTGGTGTTGCATTTTTTTTTAATATATTGGTTGCTTTAAAAATGAAGCATTTGGGGGACTTAAAAAAATAATGCAAGGGTTGTTTTAGCGTGGCATTTTAGGATGTGCATCTCTGTTGAAATGAGATCCTGGCAGCATGCTGAAGGTGTGAGCTTCTGGCTGGCTGGTGCTGGGAATTTGATAGGCTGCTTTTCTTCCCGTCAACCATGAAGGGAAGGGAGCACAGTTGAGCTGAGTAGATGTGCATACTCAGATATGAATCTTCCTAGCCATTTCACTCCTCTGCGAGGCCTTTTAAAATGCCCAGGGGATTCCCTGTGGAATCCGGCACCTGTGTGGGGGCACCTGGTTGCGCCCCTCCTCAGAATTTTGCACCCGGGGCCACTCCCCCCCCCCACAGCCCACCACTGCGTGATGCATCTAAGATGTGTTGTTTAGAAGCTGAAAGAAGTTT